CCCCACTTCCTTCATCCCCCTACAATCTTGTCAGTCTCTCATCTCTTCCCTCTCACAGTACCTTAAAACCTTCTTCTGGAGGAAAGGTTATCCCATGCAAGGTTTGGTTGCAGAAGTTCTTGTCGGCTGTGTCTACACTGGCATGAATTTCCGGAACTGCTTAAAACGGAATACTATTCCGTTTTTAGTTTTTCCGGAAAAGGAGCGTCTACATTGGCAGGCTGCTTTTCCGGAAAAGCCCTTTTTCCGGAAAAGCGTCTGTGGCCAATGCAGACGGGCTTTTCCGGAAAAGACTACTGGGCTGTCTACACTGGCCATTTTCCGGAACAGTGTTCCGGAATAAGGACTTATGCCCGAGCAGGAGCAGAATAGTTTTTCCGGAATAGCGGCTGATTTTGTACAATAGAGCTTCGTTGCTTTTCCGGAAATTCAAGGGCCAGTGTAGACAGCTCGCAGCTTATTCCGGAAAAGCTGCTGTTTTTCTGGAATAAGTGGCCCAGTGTAGACACAGCCATAGTGTCCAAGTTATTAGAGCACAAACATGCAAACATTCTCCTTTATATATTAGATGTTCCACAATTGCCAACTCACATTTTATCACAAGACTCCTAACATTTGTTGTTTCTCTTAAACCCCAGTTTCTGGAATCCTCTGATTATGAAAACTTCCCAAATTTCACTTTAAAAAGTGTTTGTCTAACACTCATAGGTGTAGAGGAAAGCTTGTTAATCTGACTTGAGCATACTCTAAACACCCCCCAATGAAAAGGCAAATCACCACCACCCCTCTACTATTTCACACATTTGTTTTTCTATTTCCTGATTTTTAAGTCAGTCTCATGATTATTTTTGGTTCAACTCATTACATCTGAGCACTTGAGCATGCTTCCTGAGTTATTTGGTCACGATTTTCCTAGAGGGCTCTTGAAGCTCATTAGTGTTAAAGATGTATCTCTGCAAATATGAATAGGCAGAAAACACCTTGCAGTAGTAGTTAGAATAATTCCCAAGAGTTTATAAAAAAGGCTGGAGGTGAGAGTCAAGGTCTCAAAATGTCCTACTGCATGGGCAAAATAACTGACTTTTTTTTTTTTAAGGTACAATATTTTGATATATACTTTTAAATTAGAAGAAAGTTTTCAAAGCAGGAAACGCACTTGAGTTCCCAGTAGTTAGGTGGAAACCATGGATATTCAACAAGCAAGCAACCAAATTATATACTGTAATTCAACAAGAGGCTGTGGTCACAGGGGGAAAAAGCATGTAAGTAAAACTCAAAAGCATTTTGTAATCAACAGAATCCAAAAAGGTATACTTATAGGTGTATAACTGAAATTGTGTCATTTATATTTTATACATAAAGTCCTGGATATGTGTCTTGAAAGTGAGTCTTTCAGTTTTAATTACCTCTAAAAAGAAATGAAGGTATCATCTGCACTGCTTCCCAAACTTATGATAGCATTGACGATTAGAAAAAAAAAATTCCCAAACTCTCTATACAGATCTTAGAGACCACGTACATTAATTTCTTTATATCTTTTGTAAGTGTGATTGTCCTTGCTAGTTGTACATATGTATTTAGTACATAATTCTGATATATACAGAATTTACCTGACAGGCTAGATTCATCCAGGGGCTATGCTAGTTTCTGCAGGCACAGACTACAGGAGACCTCAAACAGAGGGAATTCCGTCTAGCAAGGTTGGGAGGAAGGTTTATTATATCAGTGAAAAGCAGTCAGAATCTCTACTCCATCGCCTGGGTACCAAGGTCCAGCAGTCCAAAACAAAAACAGTACTGACTGGAAAAAGTACAATGAAAGCAAGTACTGACTCAGCGTATTGGCTGAAGAGATCCAATGGAGTGCACTGGTAATGTTATGAGTTTGATTAACTCTTGCTGAAGCTGGAAAGTATAAGACAATACTTTATATTTACCTCTCAGCTGCCTTCTTCAGAAGTTTCTTAATTTCATTAGTTTTACAGGTGCGCTTTTCATGGATAACCACAAATGCACTGCAACCTTCTGGTGGGGATTCATCAGCTGCAATCTTAATATTTCAACAATTACACTCAAACAATTTGCTTTAATTGCATTACAACTTAAAATTAATGCAAGCCCTTTGATTAAAATAACTTATCAGCTACTATTAAGTTGCACTTCTAGATACATTCAAAAATGGTCATATGTGAAGACAATAATTACAAAGGTTAAAAGAATAAAACCATGTAAACATATTTTTCTCCACAGAACAACATTCTACCAATTTCAGTTATATCTTTTGGGGAAAAATAGGCAGAGAGCTCTCCCACACATACTTTGCATTGGTGGAATGTATTCAAAAGAAGGATTCCATTTTTTGAGTTGTTGGCTGGCATGCTGATGAATAGTGATAATTAGATCACAGAATCATAGACTCACAAAAGCTTAGGGTTGGAAAAGAACTCAGGAGGTCATCTAGTCCAACGTTCTGTTCAAAGCAAGACCAACCCCAACTAAATCACTCCAGCCAGCGCTTTGTCAGCCTTGCCGTAAAAATCTCTAAGGATGGAGATTCAGCCACCTTCCTCAGTAACCCATTCCAGTGCTTCACCACCCTCCTAGTAAAATATTATTTTCCTAATATTCGTCCTAGCCCTTCCCAACAGTAACATGAGACCATTGCTTTTTGTTCTGTCCTCTGTCACCACTCACAATAGCCTAGCTCCATCTTCTTTGGAACCCCCTTCAGGCTGTTGAAGGTTGCTATCAACCCCCTGTTCCTCCCCTCCCCTCCGCACTCACTCTTCTCTTCTGCACAGGAAATAAGCCCAGTTCTCTCAGACTTTTCTTATAAATCATTGCCCTCTGCTGACTCTCTACAATTTGATCACAACCTTTCTGTAGCAGGGGTCCAAAAACTGGACACAATACTCCAGATGCAGCCTCATGGGTGCCAAATAGAAGGGAATAATCACTCCCCTAGATCTGCTGGCAATGCTCCTACTAAAGCAGCCCAAAATGCCGCTAGACTTTTTGGCAACAAGGGCACACTGTTGACTCATGTCCAGCTTCTTTTCCACTACTGTATCCAGGTCCTTTTCTGTAGAGCAGTCACTTATCCAGTCCCTGGCATATAGTAGCACATGTGATTCTTCCATTCTAAGTGCAAGATTCTGCATTTGTCTTTGTTGAACCTCATAAGATTTTTTTAGGTCCAATCCTCCAATTTGTCTAGGTTACTCTGGACTTTATTCCTACTTGCCGTCTTATATACCTCTCCAACCAGTTTCATGCCTTCCATGAACTTGCTGGGGTGCAATCCATCCCATCATCCAGATCATTAATGAAGATGTTTAAAAAAATAGATACATAGCCAAAAGAAAATCAAATACAACACTATCCTCAAAATTAAACAATTCATATCTGTTTTTCATTTTTCCCTTTTACTCCCATTCCTGTAATACTTTTCTGTCCTCCAAGTCCCTGGATATTATTAACTACCACCTCATCCTCTAGATCTCCTCCTACCTTCTCTCAGCTACAGCCGTGGCTTTACTTTCACAAAGGATAGCAAGAAAAAATGAAGAAAGCGGCTTCCAAAATTAGGGCTGTAAAAGAGTAGTTGATTAGTCGACTATTCGCTTCCCCTCCCCCTGCAGCCTCTACAACAGAGGCAATGGGGGATGGGGACAGGAGCTGGTGTTGGGGGGAACCATCTTAAAAGCAGTTTCCCTCCCCCCAGCACCATCTCCACGATGCAGAGGGGAAGGGACCGGGGAGGTGGGGGGGTGGGGGCAGAGGCGCAGTGGTCAGGGAGTCCCAGCTTGCAGAATAGAAATGAGAATCCCACTGAGAATGAATCCAGAATGCCAACAACAGGAAAGATTCTCCTGCTTGGACAAAGCCTGAATTGTGAAGAGCAAATCATATTCTCACAGCAGTGCAGAAAATAAGCTTGAGCTCTGAAGTAAAAAGAGGATCAATAAAACTCTCCTTAAAAAGAAAAGCTATATATCCTTTAAATTAAAACATACTTTCCCCTCACAACTGAATAAAACTCTTTTATAAAGTATGTTATATTATAACTTATTTATAACATGCATCATGATTGGCTTCAAGTAATGTCTATTACATTCTACTGATGTTATAAAAAAAATGATTTAACTTGAAGTACAGCTATCAAGCACATCTAAATGCCAACTAGATCAGCTAATTTTTACACACCTGTTGAAACATCTGAACAGTTGGTGAGTACGCCCTTATGGAAAGAGCAAACTTCAAGAGATTGATTTGCAAACTGGATAAAAATTGTCCTGCTTTCTTCAAGATTAAGTTGTAATAAGAAATTTCTGAATCTGTTAAAAACAAAGGGGAGATTTAGTATGTGGCCTCAAATGGCACTTCCATTAGCGTTAGGCAACATGCAAATATTACACCAGTATTAACTGCCAATGAAATACAAAAGAATTTGAACAGTTTCACTTGGTGAACTCTTTTGCTCAGCAAATCTAAAAGCTTCACATCAATTGGGGGAGGTGGAAGCTCTAAGTATGAATTAAATAGCCTCATTTACCATTTCACTGAACATTTTCAGGAACCGAAAAATCTTCTCAGAACAAGAAAGGCAATAATGCTTCTCTGTATAGCCTCACTTACTACCTACAACGTATTAATTTTGTCATTTTAAAAAAATTACCCTAGGCTTGTGATTTGTGTGGTTCAAAATAATCTTATACAGGCTATAAGGTTACTCACTTGTAAATAGAGTTCTTTCAGATGGACTCCACACGTTTGTTTTTGAGATACACCATTAGTTACACTTGGTCTGGTACAGCCCTAGATCACTGGAATGCTATCATGCCCACTGCAACTCCTTTTCCAATGCCAAATGTTGAAAAACAAAACTATGAAAGGGGGAGTGGCATACCATCAGTTCTTTCCATTGCCCCTCAGACAGAAAATTTAAATTAGGTCTCCAGGCATGGAGTGTGAATATGCAGAGGTCATCTTGGTACCAAAAGATTTGTATTTAATTATACTATACCAATATTGTTATCTATAAGCAACTGTTTTAATTTAAAACCTTAATTTATAATTGTCTAAACTGGTAACTTTCCTAGGCTCTTCCTACTGGAAATTGAATTTACCATTAGGTAAGAGGGAATGTAATTATTGCATCATAGGTGATGGATCCCTATATTCCTTATATTGGAATCTTCTACTGGAAATGGAACTTTATATTATCTGTAATGGGGTCTTCCCATTATATCACACTATATCCACCATTACTAGATTTCTATATTTAAACTATTACTTTTTATTTAAGTTTTATCCTTAAAACTAATTACAAGTCCAAGCATTCCAAAGAGTCTTGATACTATCCCCACTCTTTTTATAGCCAATTAAGCATGTTATAATTTTCCTTATTTTAAATCCCTTTCTGAGGTTTTTCCTCTATAAGCCTTTAATTAAAGTGCTGCAAGGCATTTCAAGCAGCTGATGCAAAATATCTCATTATAATCTCATAAACTCTCTTCTTCTCATAAACTTCAGTTCTTCAAATAGTCTATGCCAGACCTAAGGAATAACATTTCGTAAAATTATTAAGTGGAAGCTATATAAATTTCTAATATGAGAATGTGTCTAAGGCAGGTCATCAAACAATATGTTTCACCCTAAACAAGAGCGCTCCAAAACCTGCTGAGAAAGTGGCATGCTTACAACACCATTCAAAATGAAGTCTAATACACTTACAAAAGCACTGAGATGCAATTTCCTGTTCTTTATTG